TAATAATGATAATGATAATGATAATGATAATGATAATGATAATAATAATAATGATAATTCTGGTCAAACCAGACTGGGACACATTTGTTTCTTAGTAGCTGCTTAAGCAACAGAGTACTTGTGTCTGGAAAACAGTATAGTGTAAGGTTGCCCTTTTTAACTGCATCCAAGAAGAAATAGTGAAGTGTTTTGTTTTGTTTTTTTATTACTGCTTCAAAAACACCTTACTTCTCTTTGAGGAAAATCAGTGTGAAATGTCTCTTTGGCCGTGCATTTGACTGCATGTATCATGACTGCATGTTTTATAATAACTTCTGTTCCACTCTTGATTTCCCTTTGCATGTCTTCCATTCTCCTTCATGTCTTGTCCTGTAGATTGTGAGCCTTTGGGCAGGGCCTATTTCTAAATTGTAAATGTATTAGCAACAAGAATAATGTCTGTCCTAGAGACACTTTTCCTTCATATGCAATTCCCTGCCATAGAGAAAACCAAAACAGAAAGCTGAGGGGGAAACAGCACCTCTTAGAACTTCTTGGGAATCAATGATAACTTTACTTCTAACCTTCTTTACAGGCTAAGATTACTGTAGAACGTTAAACAATATTCATAAGTCAGGTAAAAAATGGTTATATGTTTAGAACTGTAGAAGGTGTGTCTTATATCTTCCTGCCTGCCAGCACCGAAAGTCCTGTAACGTACCAAGCTTTTCAGAAGGAATATTCAACCAAGTTATCTTTGGGTAAACACAGATATATCCAATGGGCTTGTCGCTGGTCTCAAAGCAATCAGTGTGTTGTGGCAAAAGCTTTTAAATGCTATTTTGTCATGCAGTGCAAGCACAGAGGAAGTGTAATATATGACAGTGTAGTATATATGGGTTTAGAAACTCACTTTTTACTTATAAATGCAAGTTTGTAGTCCGTATTCCGCACCAAACTAAGGTGTCAAGTATAAAGTCAGAGTAAGGGAAGGGCTGAGTAATATTTCTGTTTCTGGTGTGAGGCTTCCAGGTCTTTGCTGTTCCTCATAAACAGTAAGACCAGAACAAAATATGCATAATTAAGCTACCATGCATACTTTTTTTGAACTCACCATTCTTGTTTATTTACTATAATGATGAAGCACATCATTGGCCCAGCATGAAGTGACCTAGTATGAAATATGAAGGTTAAAATGCTCCCACACAGTCATTTTCTAATGCAACTTCAGCTGCATCTGTTATACTTGGAATCTGAGAGTTGTGTGTTCTAGTCCCCAGTGAGTGCTGTAACTCAGTGAGTAACCTTGGGTCACTCCCCCACCCCCACTTCTCTGGTTGCTGTGAAGATATAGTACAATCTTGAGGTCACAGGAGTAAAGCATAGAAGGCAAATAAACAAATCTCTGATTTTCTTTGTTTTTTTCTTCCTTCAACAGAGCCCCAAGCGGATGTCGGATGCTCAGGTCCAAACAGATCCGGTGTCTATCATGCCTTATGTCAAACCCAAGTAAGGAAGAGTTTGAAACAGTTGGGAAAAAATTGGATTATCAACTTTATTTACCCCCTTACAGTTACAAAAATGAATGACTTCTTTGGGTCCATTCTTCCCTGTCCCCTTCTGCTTTACATGGACATTGCCAAATGAGTGCGGCTATGCTCAAGGCAAAGAGTGATGCACGTTTTGAAATTGTTTCATTTCTCAAAGTATAGAACATCAGCACAACCTATAGAGATACTATGGGAAACAGCCAAAGAGAGGTTTGTGACTAGGGTTGATAATTGGCTAACTAGGAAAGACAAGCCAAAAGGAATGAGGAAACAACTACTAAAGTCCTGGCATAAAATCCATTTTTGTTGTTTTTTTTTAAAGTTCATCCATGTTCCCACCTCCTGTGATATGCACTTCACACCTCATACCTGGGAATCTCCAATGAGTCATGAGAGAGATTTTTGAGTACAGAAGTAAAGTCATTCTCACCTTTGGCTCAGTTAGAAATTCATTTGCGATCCCGTTTGGAAAAGAAAGAAAGCTCAGATTAACCAAGACTCAGGTAGAGATCTTGTGTTATTAATTGAGGTTTCCCAAATGAATCAGGGCTTCCAAATTTTTGCACACCCAGTTTATATGCTCATACATTCTCTATGGATTGGTATTTATCAGAAACTTATTATAGGATACAAATTATGTTTCCCAAGTTTGTGGCGTTGAGGTGTTATAGGTTGAATTCTGTGTGTGGCGCGCATGTGCATGCTTTGGAATTCTCTCCAAAGGCAAAAACTCAGTGCTTTACAGGATAACATTTGTTGGTGTTCTTGTCGTCCTTACAGCACACTGTACCACTTAAGCAAAATTAATAGATCTAGAATAATGTTGAGCAAGCAGCTTTGTGGCACGCAAAAACTCAGTGCTTTACAGGATAACATGCTTTGGTTTTCTTGTTGTCCTTACAGCACACTGTACCGCTTAAGCAAAATTAATAAATCTAGAATAATGTTGAGCAAGCAGCCTTGTGGCACAAGCAGTCCACAGGTGTGGGATGTTTTCCTTGCAAGAGACATAGCCACAGCACTGCTGCTGATGGAGCTGAGATACCCAGCCAAGCATCTAGGAGGTGTTTTGAAAAACATGAGGTTTACAATCGTCGGCACAGCAGTAAATTGAAGCTTAAAAGAAGAGTGGGAAAAGTCTTCCAACCCAAGGTCTTGATTCAGTTCTTGATAATTTTTTTAGGGGTGGTGAGGAAGTCCAAAGGCAAAAGTGTGAGACCGAAATGCCTCCATTTTTTAGCTTAACATTCTTACTTACAGTAATACTATTTATGAAAGTTGAGAAACCATCAATAATTGTAAAGAACTGGGTTTGTTTGCAGGACTAGAGGGTCCCCACTCTAGCTATAATGTTCCCAGTTTGTTAGCTATGTACTGTCTCTTAAAACAGGTCAGATCATTTCCCCATTGAACCCAGTACAGTCAGCTCTGACTGGTAGCCACCCTCCAAGGCCTCAGGATACCTTAAGTGGTTCCATAGACATTGTGCCCAACATCTGTGTGCAGAGTATTGTGGCCCCTTCATACAACTAGTTAGCCTGGAAATTAAAACTAGTTGTGTCACACAGAGCTGGGATATTGTACAAAAGGCAGAAGGGGACACAGTGGCATTTGTGAGATTCCTATACAACTATACCCCAGTGTAGACGTTACACTTAACCAGTACTTGGAAATATTGCCTTTTTTGGACTACAGCTTTCAAAATGCATTGGCCAGAATGCAGTCTGGGGGAGTTTGGGATCTGTAAATCCATAAAAGTAACTTGTCTAAGCTCTGCATTTAACCAGGGTTAACATACCATGGTTATGACCCTTTGCAGTGGAAGGGTGTACTTTGCCTTACAACTGAAGGATAGCTTTGCTTGTCCCCCTGTGCACCATTTCGAGACTTTATTTCTGCCCTGAATTCAGCCAAAGTTTTCAGTTACATCTAAACCAGGAAACAGCTCCATATCCATTAACAAGACAGAATAATAAATCAGATTAGAACTCTGGACTAATACAAACCAGAAATCATCTGCAGAGCTGGTGCATAAGAAGAGGAAGGATACTAAGGAGTGCCTGACCCTTTTAGAGTTACTCCTGCCTATCCCTGCCCCCCTGCAGTGCTTATTAAGCCTGGAACAATTTTACAAACCAGGCCAATGTAGACGAGGGAACCTGGGTGGCACCATGTAAATGGAGAAGTGAGGAAATTGACTTAAGCATGATTTGCTTTATTCAGATGCCATGATTTAACCGTGGCAAATGAAAACTACGGTTGGCTTGTAAATGTATTTTGTGTTTCACAATATATGCTCTCCACTCTAGCCGCAAGGAGAGTTTAATGAGATCCTGTGATTACCTTTTGTATTTCTGCATCGAGCAGGGCGTTGGACTTGATGGCCTTATAGGCCCCTTCCAACTTCACTATTCTGTTCTTCTATGGTTCTATGTGTGTTGTAGTGGATTGAGTGTTGGCCTAGGAGTCATGGTTCACATTCCTGATTGACCATGGAAACGCACTGGTGTGTGGCACTAGTAAAGCCACTCCTTAAGTGTCACCTGCACCTTGAAAACCCAGTCAGGGTCACCTTAAGTTAGATATAGCAATGTACACAACAACATAATGAGATATAGTGTTTGACCAGGCTTTGAAAAAACAGCTGTTAAACATCCAGAAACTAATCTGGGAGAAAGGTATGTTCAGGTGACACCCAGTCAGAAGCAAGATGAACACAGCAGAACACGGCAGGATTTGTATCTCAGTAAACATTGCATGGCCGTAATAAGAAATGAGTCACATTATAAATGATGATGGCTAGAAGTATGTGCTAAGAGGGGTTCTATTTGTGTAAAAATATTAGCTTGGGGGGCGGGGAAGAACAAGTATAAAGTTCTAAAGCAGCCACCAAAATCACCTTTTAACAAAATTGTTCAAAGATATAAGAACCAAGGAGATCATAAACTTTTCAAGAGTAAGCTTCAAAATGATTTTCAAGTTAATATTATTGAGAAGGCTGAAATGTACAGGGTTTTTTTTCTAACTGAATCTCATCTATTTCTACCTTGATGTAATAAAATGGAAGAAAATAACTTTAAATAAGTGATGTACTAACAAGAATGTAACACAAGGGGGCAGACTTTGAGTATTTTATATTAACAACTCAAGGGATGTATTTACTTTTGTGTGATTAATTTTTTTTGTCATATACTGTAGATTAAAGGCCTATACTCACTTGCATTGGAGTAAGCCCCAAAGAGATTTACTTTTGAGTACAGTAGATGTTACAGGATTATCCTGCAAAAGAAAAAAAAACTGTTTTTCACATGCCTTTCTTTCAATGCCTGTAATTAAACCTAATTTCTTTTTTCTAAAACCTAAAAATACACCAGATGGAAAATAATTCTGCTTGCTTTATGAAGGTTGAGCACAGTTAAGGCCCTGTGATATGCAAGTTTAATAGCATTTATCAAAAATTCAGATATCTACATTACTGTAAAAGTGAGAAAGAACACCATTAATATTACTTTAAACTAGCATGTGAATTCTACATAGATGTATATTTTGATTTCCTTCTGATTCAATAAACATTCCTTAAGAAAATTCATTTACGTTTTCAGTCTCCTACTTGAAAGTTCTCATTCACTCTTTAGTCTTTTTTAATGTCTGGTATGGAGTTTACTGTAGAGCAGAATTGCACAAAATAATACTATATGTGTCTGCATACACATACACATTCTCTGTGAAATATAAAACTTGGAGGAAATGAGTTACAAATAACTAGTTACTCCTAATTCACTTTGCAGTATCTAGGGTATAATTCATTATGTAACTATTGTAATTTATTAACTGACACTCATTTTATGGTGCAATTTTTAAGTTCCTTCTAGTGTTTCAGGGTGTGGCCTTAGTTAATGGAAGAATTGGAATATATGGTTCAAGTGTAGGGTCATGTATGAGCCCTTACTTGAACCATGTATTCCTTGCGTGCCTGACATATGCTCCTATGTGGGTGTTGAGGTGACAATAAGATAGATGGAGAACAGTTTGTCTTCTACAAGGTGGCCCAAGACACAGTCTGTTTTTCAGAGCAGGCCAATGGTTTGTTTATATCATTCAGGTGTGGGTTTTCAAAGTAAGGAAAGACAACTACTTTAGTTCCTTTTACGAAGCAGGAAAGGAAAGGCATACATCTTGAAGATTATAACAATAACTTCAGCTGGACCTGAGGCCCGGAACCCTAGTTACTTTTAAAAAGTAACTTTCTAAACTCCAGTCACAAATAATCATCTTATAAGCAGCTTATGTAAATTACGCCTAAATTCATCTTTGCATGTCTCGTGGCAGCAAATGGACCATGGGAAGAAACACACCTGTTCCTAATGCATACTGACCACATTCTAAAATGGAGTTAAGCTGGGTTAAGGCCCTTAAATTGAAAATACATTTCTTCAGCATTTTCCCAATTAGCAGCTGAGAGCAGGGAGTGAAACCTGTTCCTTTTGTTCCATTTTCCTCATGGGAATCCCATATATGGAATTTACAATTTGCCCAATTAATAAAAACATCGTGTTTTTCGCTGTGCCCATTACATGTTTCTAGTAAGAGGGGAACAGTGGGTTTCAGGAAGATTTTTCACTGGAGAAAATGCTGTGAATTTTTAAAAAGTTTAAATATACAGTATCTCTGCATATGTGTCCTGTAGCCCATATCCTAAAAATGCTATTAACCAACCAACTAAGGTATAGACATTAATAATCCTTAATTCTGCTTGGCCCTTAATCCAACCTGTGGGAACATGTTTAAATCTTGGTCTTCACAACCCATGTTGAGTGTAAATTTGATGTCCATAAGATGACTTACATATACACTCATATACAAACTTATACCTTATACTTACACCACATCAGCAGACTGTGATGAATGGATCCCATTACGTTCAAGGTTCTTGCTTCCGACTGAGTACTTCTGTGCATGTAAAGTGATGCTGGAATTTATGCACAGGTGAGCTAAACCAGAGATAGAATCTCAAGTAACCTACTTAGGCCCATGAGGACAGATAGTAAAGTTAGTATGTTTCAGATCTCTAGATATGGCATTTGGGAGTACAGAAACTTCGTCTGAAACATATCTACAGTACATTTCATCAAGCATGAACTGGAACATGCTCACTGACATAATCCAACGATCAACAGGATGATGAAACTTATTAATTTCCATGTAGAGGATGCAATTTCGGAGGAAGTGAAGAGTTAAATTTCCCAAAATTTGTATGACTATGGTGTTGCCCCAGTCATTTTGGAGTTGGTCTAGGGGCCTATGGTTT